GGTAGTGGGAGAAACGGTCCCTTAAGGCCAATAATCTTAGGCGGCAATCTTCACGGTCTGTTGTTCTACGGCGGCGTCCAGTGCCCCTTGCTCTTTGCGTACGGCCTTCTCGAAGCCATGCCTGACAACACCTAACCACAGTGTCTACACTTCTTTGCACTCTAACTGCAATTGCCCGAAAAGAAAGTCCAGCTTCCCGAAGTCCCACTATGTTGACGAAATCGTACAGGGTCTCCGAACTCTAGGCATCGTAACCGAACATAAAGGATGTCAAGAACCAAATCCGCCAACGTTGATTCTTTACTGCGGCTGAAATATTCATTTTTAGAGCGTTAGTGAATTAAAAAAAGCAGTATAAAAACCGGAATGTCCAACTGATAAGGCTGAACATTTTTTCACTTGTTATTTACAGTAAGATAAATACATTCACCAACTTCTATTAAAATAAAACCATTTAAACTGGGTGTTCGGATTTATATGTCACTTAGTATATCTTGAAAGAATTCAACTTTATAACGAGCGCTATAGTTTCTCCACCAACCTTTGACAGAAATAGAGGTTGTATGCTGAAAAACTGGCTCATAAGGTACGCGTTACTGCATTTGATGTACGTTTCAGAAAACCAAAATATAACATTTGGAAAAACTTTTTTCAGTTAAGATGCTAGTCAATCTCTCAGTGATACTCCAAAGTTTCTAGGAAATTCATACAGGTTTTGTTGGTTCGATTAAATAACATTTAAGCTTCATTTCCCACATCATTGCATTTTGATTTGTTAAAAGCCGCTGTTGTATAAGTTCAATATATCATTTCATAGACACCTATTATGTCTTCGCGTAACAGCGAATGATATCATCTCATTATATGAGTATACCAAATGATTCCGGATACAATAGATCGATTGCTACTGATGTGCAATAAACATTACCTAACGGTTATTTGGTGAAAATGAATTCAATTTCACAGGAGTAATGATGATTTTATACAAACGATGCTGACTACAAGTAAATTCTGTTGTAATGGAGAATGTTTTGTTGAAAAACATTTAGGTACATTTTTTACGCTCGCCAACGTAGGGAAAACTGTTATATAACGAGTGCCGTTTTCACTGTCCATCGCTTTAGAATTGGTAATTACCACAAGTTGTAATTTGTTGGTTCGGGTTTAGATGGCAAAATTGAATGAACCAATAAGCTGTCGATGAAATAGACAAACGCCTTTCAACAAATGTCTAACAATTATCTTCGTAGTTTTTCATCTAGAAATGGTCCAAACTACAATCCTTACGATAATTTGTGAACATATCTTTGGATTAAAATGAAATTATGCAATAATAATAACGGTTGAACCAGGTTGAACATGTTTGCTACGGACTGAAGATAGGCAACCATAGTTCAACTTGTCTTTTTATTATCGAAGTTTGACATTTACAGTTTATTTGGTCGGTGAGTTTGATGATGGACTCATAAAGCTTGGGGCACTTGAGGACATTTAATCAAGGATAAAAATGGAATTTTTCCAAAGTGGCTTATCTTTCTCTACAGCTGGAGCTCTCCTTTTTAGGAACAATTATGCTTGAAATAATAGCTAGTCTACAGCAGAGAAAAAGTAAAACAAAAATTTCGAGAAAGTGTTCATCATTTATTTGAAAAGATGCTTCAAGTACCGCCTTTCAGGCTATGGAAGATGTCGCTGTTTGATTCCAAAAACAAAAGTTTTGCGCGATGACCACAACATTTGGGCTTTTCTAGATCTTCCACGCAACATACTCAAACTTGGCTTGTAATTTTAACTTTTTGTACGAGATAAACAAACCGACGCGGCGCGGGATGTAAACGCTAAGGAAAACGATCTGAATGCACTCTGGAAGCCTCAGCACCATCTGGAAAATGCTCGTTATTAACTAAAAGCATATGAGAGATTCGTTATTGTTATAGGAGAGTTGTAATCAAGCATATCTGTTTACCTAAACATACGACGCTTGTTAATCCCGACATAATTCGATGGAAAGGCAGGACCAGATTTAGTACGGCAGATTTTTGGGACCCATTTTCTTGGTTATCCTTGACAAATGACATAGAAAATGTAACACCGACTAGGAGTGCTGTAATTATGAGCATACCTTTACAAGTTTTAGGTCTACTGATAAATAGAAAGTGATTAAAATTTTAACTCGAATTTCGCAAAACAGCTGAGATATTCCACCTTAATGTTCGCCATGTATCGAAGCTCCTCCACATTCGTTAAGACGTTGCAGCATTGATTGATGTCTTCTTGGTGTATTGTATCACAGACCAACTGAATTTGGTTTCGTAGAGCCTCCAATGTTTTTGGAGGGTGTTGTGAATTTTGCAACCTTCCCATCATGTCCTATACATGCTCGATAAGGGAAAGGTCTGGAGATCGAGGAGGTTACTGAAACAGATTTACCCCGGACACCTCTAAAAAGTCTAAACTACGACATGAGGTCGTGTATTGTCCTGCTGAAAAAGTGAGTCTTGCAATGTTTTCAAAAAGTGAAACAGATGTGTTTGTAAAACTTCGTGGATATAGCACTGGGCAGTCGAATGAACACCGTGACCTGATGCCACCCAGAGTGCGATGAATATGCCGTTGGATGGAATATTGGACCTTCCGTCTTCCACCGCGTCTCCTCCTTACCCTTGCACCGCCACCATGTGTGCCCAAACAGAATCTGGACTCATCGCTGAACACGACTCAGTTCGGAGTCAGAGTTAGTACAAGAGGAGGACGGCTTGACCACCCAGAGTGCGATGAATATGCTGTTGGATGGAATATTGGACCTTCCGTCTTTCACCACGACTCCTCCTTACCCTTGCACCGCCACCATGTGTGCCCAAACAGAATCTGGACTCATCGCTGAACACGACTCAGTTCGGAGTCAGAGTTAGTACAAGAGGAGGACGGCTTGACCACCCAGAGTGCGACGAATATGCCGTTGGATGGAATATTGGACCTTCCGTCTTCCAACACGTCTCCTCCTTACTCTTGCACCGCCACCATGTGTGCCCAAACAGAATCTGGACTCATCGCTGAACACGACTCAGTTCGGGGCCAGAGTTAGTACAAGAGGGGGACGGCTTGACCACCCAGAGTGCGATGAATATGCTGTTGGATGGAATATTGGACCTTCCGTCTTCCACCACGTCTCCTCCTTACTCTTGCACCGCCACCACGTGTGCCCAAACAGAATCTGGACTCATCGCTGAACACGACTCAGTTCGGGGCCAGAGTTAGTACAAGAGGGGGACGGCTTGACCACCCAGAGTGCGATGAATATGCTGTTGGATGGACTATTGGACCTTCCGTCTTTCACCACGACTCCTCCTTACCCTTGCACCGCCACCATGTGTGCCCAAACAGAATCTGGACTCATCGCTGAACACGACTCAGTTCGGGGCCAGAGTTAGTACAAGAGGAGAACGGCTTGACCACCCAGAGTGCGATGAATATGCTGTTGGATGGAATATTGGACCTTCCGTCTTTCACCACGACTCCTCCTTATTCTTGCACCGCCACCATGTGTGCCCAAACAGAATCTGGACTCATCGCTGAACACGACTCAGTTCGGGGCCAGAGTTAGTACAAGAGGAGGACGGCTTGACCACCCAGAGTGCGATGAATATGCCGTTGGATGGAATATTGGACCTTCCGTCTTTCACCACGTCTCCCCCTTACCCTTGCACCGCCACCATGTGTGCCCAAACAGAATCTGGACTCATCGCTGAACACGACTCAGTTCGGGGCCAGAGTTAGTACAAGAGGGGGACGGCTTGACCACCCAGAGTGCGATGAATATGCTGTTGGATGGACTATTGGACCTTCCGTCTTCCAACACGTCTCCTCCTTACTCTTGCACCGCCACCATGTGTGCCCAAACAGAATCTGGACTCATCGCTGAACACGACTCAGTTCGGGGCCAGAGTTAGTACAAGAGGAGAACAGCTTGACCACCCAGAGTGCGATGAATATGCTGTTGGATGGAATATCGCTGAACACGACTGAGTTCGGGGCCAGAGTTAGTACAAGGGGAGGACGGCTTGACCACCCAGAGTGCGATGAATATGCTGTTGGATGGAATATTGGACCTTCCGTCTTTCACCACGACTCCTCCTTACCCTTGCACCGCCACCATGTGTGCCCAAACAGAATCTGGACTCATCGCTGAACACGACTCAGTTCGGAGTCAGAGTTAGTACAAGAGGACGACGGCTTGACCACCCAGAGTGCAATGAATATGCCGTTGGATGGAATATTGGACCTTCCGTCTTTCACCACAACTCCTCTTTACCCTTGCACCGCCACCATGTGTGCCCAAACAGAATCTGGACTCATCGCTGAACACGACTCAGTTCGGGGCCAGAGTTAGTACAAAAGGAGGACGGCTTGACCACCCAGAGTGCGACGAATATGCCGTTGGATGGAATATTGGACCTTCCGTCTTCCAACACGTCTCCTCCTTACTCTTGCACCGCCACCACGTGTGCCCAAACAGAATCTGGACTCATCGCTGAACACGACTCAGTTCGGGGCCAGAGTTAGTACAAGAGGGGGACGGCTTGACCACCCAGAGTGCGACGAATATGCCGTTGGATGGAATATTGGACCTTCCGTCTTCCACCACGTCTCCTCCTTACCCTTGCACCGCCACCATGTGTGCCCAAACAGAATCTGGACTCATCGCTGAACACGACTCAGTTCGGGGCCAGAGTTAGTACAAAAGGAGGACGGCTTGACCACCCAGAGTGCGACGAATATGCCGTTGGATGGAATATTGGACCTTCCGTCTTCCAACACGTCTCCTCCTTACTCTTGCACCGCCACCACGTGTGCCCAAACAGAATCTGGACTCGTCGCTGAACACGACTCAGTTCGGGACCACGGTTAGTACAAGAGGGGGACGGCTTGACCACCCAGAGTGCGACGAATATGCCGTTGGATGGAATATTGGACCTTCCGTCTTCCAACACGTCTCCTCCTTACTCTTACACCGCCACCATGTGTGCCCAAACAGAATCTGGACTCATCGCTGAACACAACTCAGTTCGGGGCCAGAGTTAGTACAAGAGGGGGACGGCTTGAAAACAGTCCAAAAGACCTTATTGTCATTGCCCTTCCGACCATCAAACCACTGGTTCGCAACCGCACTTGTATACAGGGTGTAAACGTTATGGTAGTCATTATTAGTATGGGTAATACGAGGGGTCAAAACAAGTCAAAAAGTTCATATGACCCATGGTCCAAAATTCAATAGATTTTTGTCTAAATGGCTTTATAGTTTACAACTTTAAGTGCTTTATATCGACCACAATCACCACAATCTTACTAATTTTCGCAAACGCTAACAGTAGTTAATATGTTGTTTTGTTTTTGTTCGCGTACGTCGTTTATAGAAACTTTTTTTCATATTTTTTAAAATATTTCCGACCAACTTTCGAACACCCTGTATACACACCAATTTATTACATCTCTTACAACTAACTTAACACAAATTCTTAAAAATATCACAGCTCGTCCTTGACTTTACTCCAATACCCGGCTATCATCACTCCAGCCTTCCTCCCTATCATCATGGTGGGAGCATTTGTATTTCCACTGGTCACGGTGGGCATGACGCTGGCATCCGCCACCCTAAGCCGGTTCACGCCGATGACCCTCAGCTTTGAGTCCACCACAGCCGTGGATTCGTCCTTGGGGCCCATTTTGCAAGTGCCTACTGGGTGGTACAAGGTTCCGCTCATGTGCCGTATCGCGCATTTCCAGTACTCGTCGGAATCGTATGGGAACTGGTCGCATGCTGGTATGACGTCGTGGACGAGTTCGGGGTTGTGTTTCGACATGGAGGCTGTTCGGAGCAGGGCTTGACAATATCTGAAAAAGTAGCAAAGGATAATTTTTGGCACAAGTTAAAAAAGGTTTGTCATGAACATGTATAACAAAAAATTAAATAATAATAATAATATTTATTACCCTCATCAAACAGTATATAAAAGTTTACAAACAAAAAGCCTTAAGAGAATGAAGAGCTACATCAGCTGGCCCCTTAAAGAAGCAGCTGCTAGAGCCCAAAAATAAACAAACAAATTTAAACAATTCTATATTAATGCAAATGGCTATTAAGACATCGATAATTAATAATGTTTTGATATAATATAGCGAAGTATGAGAGAGTGTGAGAAGAGACAACAAGGGGAGAGGAAGAGACCGTAAATCACTTTTAAAGTTCTTCTTAAATGTAGCTACCGAGAGAGAAAAATCTGTAATTTTTAATTTATTTACCAAAAAGGCAATTTGATATGAGAATGATTTCTTAAATGATTCTTTATTGTATGATGGTATTGTAATCAAATTCAACCTTCTAATGTTTAGATTTTGTACATCAGTCCGGTAACTAATTTTTAAGTGAAGATAAGAGGGGCTTTTATATCTTAAAATCTTGTAAAAAAATGAAGTAGAGTGCAAGGTACGCCTCTGAGCCATATTCAACCATCCCAGTTCAGGTACTTTGTGGGATACTCTTTGTCTACCCCTTATGCCAAATATCAGTCTCAGACAAGAATTCTGGACTTTTTGAGCCCGTTTTAGTTCCACCCTATCAAGAAATGGGCCATATACCATGTCAGCAAAGTTGAAGTGGGACAACACTAAAGCTTCGCAGAGCGTGGCTTTAATATTTTGTGATAGGTAATGTCTATGGGGGTAAATTATTTTTATAGTCAACGCCAAACAAAGTGGCGTGCACGTCATCAAGGTGGGTGTGTTGAAAAATTTACATTGTTGCCAAACCTTTTGTAAAATAATAAAATTTATTATTTATTAAGGTTTATAAGCAATATTAACCTCAAATGAGAACAAAAATAATAGTATAATAAAATTATAGATCTGTACTTGCATAATCATTAAGTATGACAATTATTGATCAGATGACACTATGAAACTACCATATTTAATTGACAGCTTAAAGGTACTGAATAAAAATCCAAATGGGGTCCTCCAAATTTTATGCATGGTATTTATTTTACAGAATTCATACAGAAAAATGCATTCTAAAATTAGGTAAGCTACTGGTGTAAGCTTTTTCTGTACAATAAAGTTAGTCGGAGTTTCTTTCTTCAGCGCTGTCTGAATCTGAATCTTCATCACTCTCAAAGTTGATTATTAAAGGTTCGATGTCTGGTCGATCAAAAATTCGTTCTCTTTCATACCATTTAAAAATTTCTTGCTCAGTATGTCGAACACTATTTTTCCACATGTCTGGGGTAACCGTTTGTAGAGCCTCGTTCCACATATCCAAACAGTCTTTTTCACTGTTACCATCTCTACCAATATGTCTGTTATAGTAACCTTTTGCTATGCCCCAAATTAACTCAATAGGGTTAAATATACAATGGTAAGGAGGCAGACGAAGAACTTTGTGCCCATGTTGTTCCGCCAATTCATCAATCACGTATATTTTAGGTGGTTTGTTTCTAAAAAAGCAGTTATTTTAAGAATAGGAATAAACAAAAGAAATATAAACTGTCGACCAAAATATATATAATTAAGAAGCATTATGTACCGAGCAACAATACTCAATAGCTCTGTTTTAAACATTGTGTTTAAAAATGGTATGTTTTGATTTGTCAACCAGTCTTGGATATTTTTTTTGTCCATGCATTGTTGGGCACTTTGTTCAATATCATGCTGTGATAAGGGGCGTCATCCAGTATAATCATAGATGGACTCTCCAATTTTTCTAATAACTGATGTTGAAACCATTTCAAAAAATTGTCCTGGTTCATCTCTCCATGGTAATCGCTCAATTTTGTTTTCGAAGAAAATATCGCTTCGCTACCCTCAATAAACCCATTTTCATTTCCAGCATGTAATATAATGTATCTAAAATATATTAGTTTTAAATTTTATAGTGCAAATTGTGTAAAAGTACATACCTTTTACCATCTGTTTTAATAGCTTTCACGCTTTTTTGGTTTCCATTTTGCCAAGAGCGACCTATGGTCCCATTTTGAAATATCCAAGTTTCATCGAGGAAGACAAACTGGTATAAGGCCTCAACCTTGGCTTGATTGTATTGCCTTAGAAATTCCACCCTTTTCAAAGCTATACTTGGTAGTTCCATGAGCCCTCGTCCCGGATTGTCCTTAAGCCACTTAAATCCAAGATCTCTAAGCAACCGCCTTAAAGACGTGGTACTACCATCAAATAATGCCCTATCTCTTAATCGAGACCATAAAGTTTGTATCGTAACTTGTTCTTCTGAAACCATGTGTAATATGACATTATAATTTAGTTAACAAATTAATGCAAATTTCTGATAAGTTATTATAATAAGATCTTACTTTTGTGATACATATTATAGATCACTTCTCGAATGGCACTTGTATCCAATGTCGCTGTGTTGGTTACACGTTTAATATAACTCCGCTTTTTCTTGGGCGATTCTAAATTTGCATCACTTTTCACACCCTCGGAAATACGACTAACTGTCCTTAAACTAATTTTTAAAGCAGCAGCAACACGCTACAAAAAATGAAATAAAATTTCACTATTATTAATATACATTACATATAATTATTAGTAACCTACCTCTTGAACAGCATTTAAAGGCAACAAAGGCCCGTTGTTGTCCCTTTCTTGCTCAAAGTAGTGCATTAACGAGGCCACGAGTTCCTTACACCGACTATTTAACTGTTTGGGCATCTTTATATACCAAAATTGCCTTTATCTACTCGTAAAATGAATAATTTTGTTTTGAAACAAACAGTTGTTGATTTACAGTATGCGGGGCCAAAGGATTTATAAAGATTTGAAATGCCACAAATTGATTCAGTGTCAAAATTAATACAAATGTCAGTTCCCAGTTTAAATAAGTTTCAAGGTGACAATGTGTCAATGCTGCGAAATCGGTTTAGTGCGTTTACATGTCGATAAGTGATTGGAGCGTTTGCAAAACATTTTATTTCGCATAATGCGTCTAAATTTATCAGAAAGCAACTTATGTGATATTTTAATAACAATGTTTATATGACTATTAACCATAATAAGAGAGTAATGACCATTTTACAATTTATATATCACATTAATATGAAACTGCATAGAGCAATTGTTTGTGATAGAAACCTAGGCATTAGGTCGGGGAATTTTTATCGTGATGACGTGCACGCCACTTTGTTTGGCGTTGACTATAACATTGAATATGCTTTTCTTAGGCACAGAGTAATGTGTTCTCTAAACTTAGGGTCGACCATTGAGCCCAAATCCTTCACGGAATCCCTAAATGATATTATATTGTCCCCAAGTTTGCGCTTAATATTATTTTCTAATACGTTTCTGTAGGAATCACAACAAAACAGTATAGCCGTCGATTTACTAGGGTTTATCTTTAACAAGTGATCTTCAGAGGTTTGGAGAAGGCTATTCAAGTCGGTATTCAGTCGGTTTGTTATAAGTTCTGACAGATCACGTTTAAAAGAGGCATAAATTTGAGTGTCGTCAGCATAAAGATGATATTGACAATAACTTAGCGACTTCATGAAATTAAAAGTATATAGGCTATGCAATAATGAACCCAAAATACTGCCTTGGGGCACCCCTGAAGTCACGCGCTGGATCCTTTCAGATAAAAAGGAGTTTATTAATGCATAGGCCGGATGCTCAGATCCAATATATTTCAGAATAGCCACTAGTATCTCAGGATTAATCATGTCAAAAGCTGTCGTGTAGTCCAATAACACCAAGACAGTAGCATTTAACGCATCCTGTTCTCTGATGACATCATCCACAAGATCTGTTAATGCTGTGGAACAACTGTACCCGGCTCTAAACCCTGACTGTCTAGGAGGATGATATTGTGTGCAAAAACGTAGTTAGCAACTTGTATAGCGATTGCCTTTTCCAAAAGCTTAAAGAGGGTCGGAAAAAGCGAGATTGAACGTAGTTGACCAAATTCTGTCGGATTGTTAACCTTAGCCAATGGAAGAACATTGGCCAGCTTCCAGCTTTTAGGAAAATAAGACCTTTTAATACAACTATTTATAATATGGGTAATATAAGGAGCTATAAAAGCGCAACACAAGGAAATCAGGGTACCGTTCAGGCTATCAGCGCCAAAAGCCTTCGTCTTGATACTGAGGATACTATTTAAAACAAAATCTTCGTAGATTAGGTTAAATGAGAAGGTTTCATTAAGCAAGGAGTTGTTGTTATACCAATGCAACAATTCTTGTTTTGGAGTATTACTTTGTGGTATTTGGGCAAAGTAGGTAATATGTTCATTAACATTCCTTAAATGGTCAGGGATGTATTTATTTTTATTTCTACAGTATATTCAGATAAGAGATAGACCGGATGTAAACAAAAGGTTCGGGTGATTTTCACGCTAACGCCGCCGTCTCGACGTAAAACAGGAGCCCTCATTGGTCAATTCGCAATTAAATGCCTATGCCGAGCGGCAGAGCAGTCGTATCAAGGCAGAGTCACATTCAGGTTCAGACGTGTTACGTATGTCGTGTGCATCATTGCAATTTGATATTTCTTTGGACGTTTTCGTTTGTTATCTTATTAAGTTGTTGAGTTTGTCGTTGTTATTGTTATACCTTGTTATTGATTGTTATTGTTATCAACTGCTTGCGAAAAATGCCCAGTAGTACAGATACTGCCGATGAAGTTGTAAACTCCTGTAGTCCACCTAGGAAACGCTCTAAAAAAAGACACCTGAGTGCAGAAATGAAAGAGGTCATTTTGAATACATATAAGATCGAGCGCGAGGAGAACGAGGCATCAACCATCAAAGAAATTGTTGTGAAGGTTTCTCACAAAGTTGGGGTGTGTCGCGCATCAGTGTTTAATGTGTTAAGACAATACAAAAAAAATCACACCTTTTCTGAGCCAATGACCAGTAAACATCGCAAAAGTATTGTTAAATCATTGGATGAAGCTGATAAGCATGCGATTAGGAGGAAAGTGCATGAATTCTTCTTTAGGAATGAAATACCTACTATAGATAAAGTACTGCAGGAGGTAAATGGAGATACAACGTTGCCAAATTTCAAATGATCAACTTTCCATGCGTTACTGAAGCATTTAAATTTCAAATGGAAAAAACGGGGTCGTAATAGTTTACTACTGGATAGAGAAGAAATTGTGCTATGGAGGAGGGATTATTTAACAGAAATTGGGAAATATAGAAATCAAAACAGGAAGATTTATTACCTTGATGAAACGTGGGTAAACGCAGGACACACTACAAGTAAAGTATGGGTTGATGATTCTGTAACTTCATCCAGGAGGGCCTTTCTAGATGGACTGTCCACCGGATTAAAAAATCCAGCAGGTAAATACGAGTAATAGACAACAATCGGATGTTTTTCAAACCTTGGGAACAAGGTTCTAAACATTAATTCCAGGGGGCAGATAAAACATATTACAAGTAACAAAACTTTTATAACTTTCGATAAAATGCGTGGATGTTTTATTGTCATTTTCATTTGTTAGAACTTTTTTAAGCCATGTTTTTATGTGTTTTCGATATTTCAATAATTTTTTAATATAATATAAAATAATAAAATATGTCGAATATTATAAACTTAAAAAAAGTTACTAAGTTTTATATTGTATTTCACCAAACATCAGGCGGCATCCGAAGCTGGAAATCGAAGCGAAAATTTTGAAACCCTTATGTATATTTACATCATTATATATTTCTTACCCCACCCCCACATGATCCTATATCCAGCACCAATCGTATACACATCGAATTGTGCTAATTTACTACAAAGTTACGCAAAGCAGCATCTACTATCTAAAATATGTACTGCGTGACTCTTAATACGTCCCTGCCGAATGTTACAGCGTTCGATGATCACGTGGTCTTGTTTATGTCCGGTCTATCTCTTATCTGAATATACTGTAAGTATATGTAGTTTTTTTAGTTCAGCCTATTTTTCCTTTTCTGAACAATTCTGAAACTTTAAATGACCTTCCTCCTCCCCCGAGCTGCATGCGCGCATAATCGTTGCGATGACCAATCAACATGCACGGTGCACACAGCCCACAGCAATGCGGAAGCGATTGCCGACTGTGACATACGACCACCGACGACGAACTGAGATCCTCCCCCTGCAACCCCTAACTCCCAATTTGAACCCCTACATAAAATTTCCCGAAAATGATCAGTATTGTCAGAAACGTCGAAAACCGAAGTTTGAGCGATTTTTATTTTTTTGTCTATGGCCTTTTTCTCCGCTGCCACTGGACCGATTTTCAAAAACTACAAAGGTTTTGCGTCCTCGGCGTAGTAGTACCATTGTATAAAAACTTCATCGAAAATTGAGCTGTAATTCTCAATCTATAGACGGTTATAAGATTAGCGGAAAGATCGACGGAAATGCGACATGGTTTTTCGTGATATCATCTAACATCCAAAGAACATATGACATGTTTGAAAGCGTTCGCGATTATAATACTTCCAACCAGTAGGCGTGGGAAGTAAAAATTGAGCAAAATTAGAGAAGTAGGTCAGCCTACTTTGAACACATTTCTAACAGATAATATAATTACCATTATTGTATTATATTTTTTATTTCTTATTTTGTCTATAAAAATCAATAAATACGGTTTATTATTATTATTATTATTATTATTTATTTTTTGTCAATATTTACTTTTTTCAACTGGTATTGATGAAGTGTAATATTTATCTGATTTTTGCTTTAACCCTACCATGTACAACGAGTGCAGGCCTTGTTACCAGAAGACTATCCTCGCAGACTAACATTCTGTCAGTGGTTTTTGCACAAAAACATTGAAAATCCGGATTTTTTTAAAAACATTCTACAGTATATTCAGATAAGAGATAGACCGGATGTAAACAAAAGGTTCGGGTGATTTTCACGCTAACGCCGCCGTCTCGACGTAAAACAGGAGCCCTCATTGGTCAATTCGCAATTAAATGCCCATGCCGAGCGGCAGAGCAGTCGTATCAAGGCAGAGTCACATTCAGGTTCAGACGTGTTACGTATGTCGTGTGCATCATTGCAATTTGATATTTCTTTGGACGTTTTCGTTTGTTATCTTATTAAGTTGTTGAGTTTGTCGTTGTTATTGTTATACCTTGTTATTGATTGTTATTGTTATCAACTGCTTGCGCAAAATGCCCAGTAGTACAGATACTGCCGATGAAGTTGTAAACTCCTGTAGTCCACCTAGGAAACGCTCTAAAAAAAGACACCTGAGTGCAGAAATGAAAGAGGTCATTTTGAATATATATAAGATCGAGCGCCAGGAGAACGAGGCATCAACCATCAAAGAAATTGTTGTGAAGGTTTCTCACAAAGTTGGGGTGTGTCGCGCATCAGTGTTTAATGTGTTAAGACAATACAAAAAAAAATCACACCTTTTCTGAGCCAATGACCAGTAAACATCGCAAAAGTATTGTTAAATCATTGGATGAAGCTGATAAGCATGCGATTAGGAGGAAAGTGCATGAATTCTTCTTTAGGAATGAAATACCTACTATAGATAAAGTACTGCAGGAGGTAAATGGAGATACAACGTTGCCAAATTTCAAACGATCAACTTTCCATGCGTTACTGAAGCATTTAAATTTCAAATGGAAAAAACGGGGTCGTAATAGTTTACTACTGGATAGAGAAGAAATTGTGCTATGGAGGAGGGATTATTTAACAAAAATTGGGAAATATAGAAATCAAAACAGGAAGATTTATTACCTTGATGAAACGTGGGTAAATGCAGGACACACTACAAGTAAAGTATGGGTTGATGATTCTGTAACTTCATCCAGGAGGGCCTTTCTAGATGGACTGTCCACCGGATTAAAAAATCCAGCAGGTAAATACGAGTAATAGACAACAATCGGATGTTTTTCAAACCTTGGGAACAAGGTTCTAAACATTAATTCCAGGGGGCAGATAAAACATATTACAATTAACAAAACTTTTATAACTTTCGATAAAATGCGTGGATGTTTTATTGTCATTTTCATTTGTTAGAACTTTTTTAAGCCATGTTTTTATGTGTTTTCGATATTTCAATAATTTTTTAATATAATATAAAATAATAAAATATGTCGAATATTATAAACTTAAAAAAAGTTACTAAGTTTTATATTGTATTTCACCAAACATCAGGCGGCATCCGAAGCTGGAAATCGAAGCGAAAATTTTGAAACCCTTATGTATATTTACATCATTATATATTTCTTACCCCACCCCCACATGATCCTATATCCAGCACCAATCGTATACACATCGAATTGTGCTAATTTACTACAAAGTTACGCAAAGCAGCATCTACTATCTAAAATATGTACTGCGTGACTCTTAATACGTCCCTGCCGAATGTTACAGCGTTCGATGATCACGTGGTCTTGTTTATGTCCGGTCTATCTCTTATCTGAATATACTGTAGACCAGCGGAAATAGTCAAATGAAAATGGAGCCCGAGAGCGCATAACCATTTTTATAGGCTTTTTTATGTGCTTGAAACCATAGCACAAACGCTATCGATATTACAATTCTGAAACTTTAAATGACCTTCCTCCTCCCCCGAGCTGCATGCGCGCATAATCGTTGCGATGACCAATCAACATCCACGGTGCACACAGCCCACAGCAATGCGGAAGCGATTGCCGACTGTGACATACGACCACCGACGACGAACTGAGATCCTCCCCCTGCAACCCCTAACTCCCAATTTGAACCCCTACATAAAATTTCCCGAAAATGATCAGTATTGTCGGAAACGTCGAAAACCGAAGTTTGAGCGATTTTTATTTTTTTTTGTCTATGGCCTTTTTCTCCGCTGCCACTGGACCGATTTTCAAAAACTACAAAGGTTTTGCGTCCTTGGCGTAGTAGTACCATTGTATAAAAACTTCATCGAAAATCGAGCTGTAATTCTCAATCTATAGACGGTTATAAGATTAGCGGAAAGATCGACGGAAATGAGACATTGTTTTTCGTGATATCATCTAACATCCAAAAAACATATTACATGTTTGAAAGCGTTCGCGATTATAATACTTCCAACCAGTAGGCGTGGGAAGTAAAAATTGAACAAATTTCTAACAGATAATATAATTACCATTATTGTATTATATTTTTTATTTCTTATTTTATTATAAAAATCAATAAATACGGTTTATTATTATTATTACCTATTATTTATTTTTTGTCAATATTTACTTTTTTCAACTGGTATTGATGAAGTGTAATTTTGATACCTTATTGCTTCCAAATGTGTATTCAAATCATGTTCTTCTGGGTCCGTCAAATATTTAGGGCGAATGACTGGCGCCTCGTATATGTCCTTACTTCTTAATTCCAAGTTTCCTTTAGATTTCGGATTGAGTATCAGCGATGTTATGATTAGGGCCGGATTGTTTGCATTTACCATCAATCGTTTTTCCACCGATTCATCTTTAAATCCAACTGCCTGAAAATAATTGGGTTAAAATATTCGAAATGTTCTTTGCTACATCTAGCACGTGGCATTATGGCGAAGCAAATCTCATGAGTTATCAGATCGTTGCCTCGAGAAAAAATATTTTCGAAAATACAAAAACTCAAAAATGTACTGTTACAAAATTATTACAATGTTATTATGATGTTAATATACTAAGTGACATATAAATCCGAACACCCAGTTTAAATGGTTTTATTTTAATAAAATTTTGTATAAGTACTTAATGAAGCATAATAAGTAAATGATAAAAATTTCAAAATGATTGCACTGCTTTAAAGCCCTTTGACCTTTAATAATGTGTGGATGCACCCTGATGTGCTACGCATTCTCCAACGCGCCTAGGCATGCTTCTGATCAGGTGGTCAATGTCCTCCTGTGGTATCTCATTCCACGCAACCACCAACTCCTCTCGAAGTGCTTCTAGAGTCTGAGGAGGACGTTGCAAATTGAGCAATCTCTTACCCATCATATCCCACACGTGCTCAATTGGGGATAAGTCGGGAGATCTTGGTGGCCAATTGTAACAATGTGACATCATTATGTTGAAAGAAGTCTATTGTGACTCTTGCAACATGTGGTCGAGCATTATCTTGTTGGAAAGTTGGATCTGCCAGGGTGTCAAGATAGGGTAAAAGATGGGGTTCTAGAACTTCGTGGATATAACGCTGCGCGTTCATGTTACCTCTGATGAAGATTAAAGGTGACCTGGAACCATAAGCTATAGCACCCCAAACCATAACTCCAACAGTGTGATGAACATGTCTTTCAACAAAAAACTGTGGATTCCTCCTTTCACCACGTCGCCTTCTAACCCTGGCACGACCATCGTGCATGCCTAAACAAAATCGAGACTCGTCACTAAAGACAGACTGTTCCATTCCTGATCCCAGAGTGACCGTTGTCTGCACCACTCAAGGCGATTACGTCGGTGTTCTCGAGTTAAAGGGAGGACCCAGTGTGGCCGGTATGAAAACAAGCCAAAACTTATCATTCGTCGGTAAACACATCGCATGCCAATAGGTCTTCCGTGTTCTGCAAACCATTCATTTGCAATGGACCTGGTAGTGGAGAAACGGTCCCTTAAGGCCAATAATCTTAGGCGGCGATCTTCACGGTCTGTTGTTCTACGGCGGCGTCCAGTGCTCCTTGCTCTTTGCGTACGGCCTTCTCGAAGCCATGCCTGACAACACCTAACCACAGTGTCTACACTTCTTTGCACTCTAACTGCAATTGCCCGAAAAGAAAGTCCAGCTTCCCGAAGTCCCACTATACGGCCCCTATCAAACTCACTAAGTTGACGAAATCGTACAGGTCTCCGTACTCTAGGCATCGTAACCGATCGTAAAGGATGTCAAGAACCATAATCCGCCAACGTTGATTCTTTACCGCGGCTGAAATATTCATTTTTAGAGCGTTAGTGAATTAAAAAAAAGCAGTATAAAAACCGGAATGTCCAACTGATAAGGCTGAACATTTTTACACTTGTTATTTACAGTAAGATAAATACATTCACCAACTTTTATTAAAATAAAACCATTTAAACTGGGTGTTCGGATTTATATGTCACTTAGTATAGTACAAAGGCTTAAATATGACTGACTATAAAATGTGATGAGAACAATAAAGTAAACTCTAGGTCTTCTACAAAATTTCTAGCATCGTCGGCAGTATTCCTGGCATATCAGCAGGAACGGCTGATATAACTCATGAGACACGTGAATAGTGCGTTTCATGGAGATGGGAGGGGACCGAGTCAAGTCTCATCCAATCTGACATGGAGGAAAGGTGCAAGTATTCGCGCGGATCAGTGCAAAATTCCGAAAAAAACGGGTAAATCAATGTAAAACATGTTTCTTGATTAAAATATCAAAATCTGACACTACGAGTATATTATTTATCGTGGATATCCGAATGTTACGTCAGCATTTGTGAAGTCAACTCATCCAGTGTTATGATGAGGATCGTGTATTTGCTCTTGATATCACGAAATCATGCAATCAGCTGTGGCATGCCGCCCTCTATGGCCTCCCAGATGCAGATCGGTGGCTGATTTTCTTTCTAGCCGCAAGATATCCGTCATAATTGACGGGTTCTTCTATTCATCCCACAACGTCAACGCGGGTGTTCCCCAGGGATCTGTCCTGGATCCGGCAGTGCTCCTCTTACATATCAACGCCCTCGTATCCTGTACGATCAATCCAATCCACTGTACAAGGTGTGTGATCTGTAGAAATGATACACTGGTTGGGATGTATAGATCTCAGCTCACGAATTGGACGCCCAGTCACCACATGACCGCCAGATGGCGCTATGTTGTAGATGTGGTCTACTTGCCATTGAACAAAATAAAATGAACATGTTCTGCTTTAGTCAGTCCGAGCGAAAACAATGCCAACCAAGGATATCTGTTTCGTGCTTTTTGTCTACTTCGTCGGCATTAAAACGCAGTTCCACCGGAATCACTTTTCCCATATGAATGGTGCGTGACAGTTTTGGAAAATCTCGCGTGAGATTAAGGAGACGTAGCTACAAGATGTGTAATCTAAAATTTCTGATATCTGACGAGCCTTATTCAAATATCAGCTGCGCTTAACAAAACTACTACTACGAATATTTAAGGGTGTAAATCTACATGGGCGACATGCATACTAAGTGAAGGGGGCCACTTTCAACAATTTTTTTGATAATTTCGTTGGTTTTAATGTTATGTTTATGTTGTCAGTTGTTGTTGTTCATTACCTCTAATGTATACAATTTTTCCAATTGAATTAATAATAATTTTGCAAGTTAGACAATAGAACGGTTTTTATTTTTATACTCAAAAATGGCGCATCTAAGGAAACAATTCAACAGAGATCATTTGTTTTAAATTGAACGGGGAATTCAAAAGAATTTTTATTTGGAAGAAAACGATTGGCGTACCATTTTTTTCTTAAAAAATATCGAAGTCAATACCCGTACGCGCGCCACTGTTAAAGCTAAAAATTATACTACGTACTAAATAGCAGTGAAATATCTGAAGCGGTTCTGAAAATATTAATTAATTTCCATTTTTTCCTAAAACTTCAACACCCCGAGTTTTTGTAAGGAAACATTTTTGGACCATAGTTTCTAAAGCAAACTAACATTACTTTTCCATGTAGATTTACACCCTTAAATATTGTATGCTGTATGCTCCTCGATAAATAAATACCTTAGAAAATGCTGGTAGGAGATAAGGATCTGCCGACCTGAGTAGCATATGATGTAGCTGTACGTCAGGATACTTCGAATCATTTTTCGTGTTTATGAATCCGATCAGATTTGTTATTGATATGCCCGCCATTGCCCCTGTCCTACGCGTAAAGTACTCGTAAACTGCATCTAGATTCGATAGTGGAGAATGTGGCTTTTCTGCGTTATGATCTAGTTTGACGAAGAATCCGAAAAAGTTGAGGTGGTCCTGGAGATTTTGCCCTACTCCAGGAAGGTCTTGGATGACATCAATGCCTTGTGCTTGGAGATGAGCCTCAGGGCCGACACCGGATACCATCAGTAAATGTGGCGAATTGGTGGATCCTGAAACAAGTATCTGCATTAGAAGGAATCATATATGAACAAGGCATTGAATATATTGAAGAAAATATATATATATATATATATATATATATATATATATACAGGGTGGCCAAACACGTGACGTCATAAATAAAAAATTAGATTCCCCACATCGAGAGGAACCCAAATCACCCCCATATATATGGTCCGATTTTGTTTAGTTTAGGAGTTATAATTTTTTTTCGGATTTTTCGAGAATTTTTGAGTTCTGTGTTTATTTTTACCATAACTTCGTTAATAATTGTGATAAATGCCTGCTTTTTTCACGATTGTGTAGCTAAGACCTGAGGCTTAACTATCATAAAATCACTCAAGTCATGTAACTAATACTACTTTTTAATTTTTTTCAAAATCTTCGAACATAACAAAAAAGTAAAAAAGTGCAACAACTTTGAACGTTTATAAAAAATTGAAAAAACATGTTCTTACTATTCGTAAGTATCTTAAAAACTTCCTTACGGTATCAGCTATTTACCGTAAAAATTTCATCAACCTAGCTTTACTACATGCTACCGTAATTGTGGCTCAAATAGAACCGAACCCAAAATTGGATAACCCTCTGCTCAATAGAAATTGTTAGTTTCGGAAAAAAAATTTGCAAAAACCACAAAAACACGTTTGATTTTTACTGAACAGCAGATTATTATTCATTTATGTTATTTACAAGAGGTTTTCAAAATGTCTGCCTCTAACAGAAATGCACAGTGTACACCTACGTATGAAATTTTGTTTTAAATCTCTAAATGCTTGTGTGTTGTTTTTCAACACATGTGTCGCTTCTTGAATTTTGTTCCTCAATGAATTTTCATTTGCACATTCTTGGGCGAATGTTATGTCTTTAAAATATCCCCAAACAAAAAAATCAATGGGGTTGAGGTCAGGGGAGCGTGGAGGCCATCGTATCGGTCCGTTTCGTCCGATCCATCTGTCTGGGAACCTTTCGTTTAAGTAGTTTCGCACGATCGTTGCGTTGTGGCATGGTGCACCATCATTCTGGAACACCATGTTCCGTCTGGCTTCCAGGCTTGAATCTTCCAGCAATAATGGTAGGCTATTTTCAAGGAAGCTTTTGTAGGCTACCGAATCCAACCTTGACGGCAGTTCAAATGGACCGATAAATTCCATATTGAATATTCCTGACCACATGTTCACACTAAAACGGTGTTGAAATGTCGACGGCCTTGACTGGTGGGGGTTTTCAACAGCCCAAGTATGTAAATTATTGCAGCATTATATGCAGAAATGCATTATTGTTATGGCGTTGCTCAAGGCAACGGCGCTTTAGCAGCTCAGCTGTACCGGGAACAACTTATACGCCGAGGCGGACCACAACCTGAGCATTACCCAGACCACCGTGTTTTTATTAACACACATAACACTTTCATGGCAGGCCGCATTCCAGGACGAGGAAGCAATGAAGGATATCCTACAGCTGATCCAGATCGCAGAGAAGTAGTACTTGAAGAAATTAGCCGGAATCCCTCAACGAGTACGAGATCTATGGCACAAAACCTTAGAATACCACGAACATCGATACAAAATATTCTTCATGAAGAAGGTTATCATGCCTATCATGTTCAAAGAGTTCAAGCGTTGATGCCTTCAGATTACCAGTTAAGAGTGGATTTCTGCGAGACAATGCTGCGAAGACAACGAGAGGATCCCGATTTTTTTGATAAAATTTTATGGACTGACGAGTCACGTTTTGAAAGAACAGGGATATCCAATATCCATAATTTACATACTTGGGCTGTTGAAAACCCCCACCAGTCAAGGCCGTCGACATTTCAACACCGTTTTAGTGTGAACATGTGGTCAGGAATATTCAATATGGAATTTATCGGTCCATTTGAACTGCCGTCAAGGTTGGATTCGGTAGCCTACAAAAGCTTCCTTGAAAATAGCCTACCATTATTGCTGGAAGATTCAAGCCTGGAAGCCAGACGGAACATGGTGTTCCAGAATGATGGTGCACCATGCCACAACGCAACGATCGTGCGAAACTACTTAAACGAAAGGTTCCCAGACAGATGGATCGGACGAAACGGACCGATACGATGGCCTCCACGCTCCCCTGACCTCAACCCCATTGATTTTTTTGTTTGGGGATATTTTAAAGACATAACATTCGCCCAACAATGTGCAAATAAAAATTCATTGAGGAACAAAATTCAAGAAGCGACACATGTGTTGAAAAACAACACACAAGCATTTAGAGATTTAAAACAAAATTTCATACGTAGGTGTACACTGTGCATTTCTGTTAGAGGCAGACATTTTGAAAACCTCTTGTAAATAACATAAATGAATAATAATCTGCTGTTCAGTAAAAATCAAACGTGTTTTTGTGGTTTTTGCAAATTTTTTTTCCGAAACTAACAATTTCTATTGAGCAGAGGGTTATCCAATTTTGGGTTCGGTTCTATTTGAGCCACAATTACGGTAGCATGTAGTAAAGCTAGGTTGCTGAAATTTTTACGGTAAATAGCTGATACCGTAAGGAAGTTTTTAAGATACCTACAAATAGTAAGAACATGTTTTTTCAATTTTTTATAAACGTTCAAAGTTGTTGCACTTTTTTACTTTTTTGTTATGTTCGAAGATTTTGAAAAAAATTAAAAAGTAGTATTAGTTACATGACTTGAATGATTATATGATAGTTAAGCCTTAGGTCTTAGCTACATAATCGTGAAAAAAGCAGGCATTTATCACAATTATTAACGAAGTTATGGTAAAAATAAGCACAGAACTCAAAAATTCTCGAAAAATCCGAAAAAAAATCATAACTCCTAAACTAAACAAAATCGGACCATATATATGGGGGTGATTTGGGTTCCTCTCGATCTGGGGAATCTAATTTTTTTTTATGACGTCACGTGTTTGGCCACCCTGTATATATATAGGTGAAAAATTAAAGCTTCCGCCTTTTGTTGGGTACTTCGACAAAATTTAAGCAAAGAGGACTCTTTATACTTTTTTTTAATTCTCTCTAGCTTTCAATGGACTTTGCCATCATTATCAGGAGCTGCAATTACAATGATAACAGTAGCAACAAAAGTGTAAAATGAATTTAAATTGAATCAACTTACAGTAGTATGTGAGGATGTTGCTAATTGTTGTTTTCGTATAGGATGAGGGAAACGTACAGTAACATGGTGAGAGCTGGATACATGGTACAATGGTTAAAATTATATAAAATATGACAAGACAAGTTAAAGACAGATTAAAAATTATTTAGAAAACATTAGAGCATTACGTAGTGAAGCCACTTGATGATTGCACAAAATGGTGGTCATGGAATAATGAGTGAGATGAACCCTTTGACAGAAGGCCGAAGGTTGTCAATGTCTGTGTAGAAAGATGGAACGAATTGTGGGCATGTGCCAACGTTGCCAAATCACTTCAGATGATGTGATTTTCAGAATGTTATGTAAGAAATTGTTAAACCGACCAGAGGCAGTTGAATTAACTATATTTTAATTAATGGGAAATTAAATTAACAATTATTATTAGATCGCGAGAAGAGAATTATTAGAATTTGAGTGGAATGAAGTTTATTGGTGGAATCGACCAAGAAACAGTTTTCATTTATTTATGTTGTGAAGAGTCAAAATTTGGGGAGATATGTAAGTTCTCCAATTTTTTGCAGTTTAGCAAATATGAGTAAATGACACTCAGTTGTTTAACATCTGTCTTTTTGTTGATACAGTTGTTATTCATGAAAATGTGGGACATTTCCAGGAAATGAAAGACAGAGTCCCGCTGCTTGGCTTAACCAACACAGCCTACTCCATCAATTGCAACAACTGCAACCAAATATACATAGGTCAGACCTCCAGATCTCTTAAAGGAAGGATTACATCACACAAAAGTGATTCTAGGCTTCATCCTGAAAGATGCGCTCTAGCATCTCATGTTAACACAACAGGGCATTCTATGAATTACACAAGTATCAAAGTTCTTGATAAAGAAAAACACCTTTCCAAACGTTTATTCCTGGAGAAGTCCCACATTTTCATGAATAACAACTGTATCAACAAAAAGACAGATGTTAAACAACTGAGTGTCATTTACTCATATTTGCTAAACTGCGAAAAATTTGAGAACTTACATATCTCCCCAAATTTTGACTCTTCACAACCATAAATGGAATCTGTTTCTTGGTCGATTCCACCAATAAACTTCATTCCACTCAAATTCCAATAATTCTCTTCTCACGATTTAATAATAATTGTTAATTTAATTTCCCATTCATTAAAATATAGTTAATTCAACTGCCTCTGGTCGGTTTAACAATTTCTTACATACCATTCTGAAAATCACATCATCTGAAGTGATTTGGCAACGTTTTGGCACACGCCCACAATTCGTTCCATCTTTCAACACAGACATTGACAACTTTCGGCCTTCTGTCAAAGGTTCATCTCACTCATTATTCCATGACCACCATTTTGTGCAATCATCGAGTTGCTTCACGACGTAATGCTCTAATGTTTTCTAAATAATTTTTAATCTGTCATTAACTTGTCTTGTCATATTTTATATAATTTTAACCATTGTACCATGTAACCAGCTCTCACCATATTACTGGACGTTTCCCTCATCCTATACGAAAACAACAATTAGCAACATCCTCACATACTACTGTAAGTTGATTCAATTTAAATTCATTTTACACTTTTGTTGCTACTGTTATCATTGTAATTGCAGCTCCTGATGATGATGGCAAAGTCCATTGAAAGCTAGAGAGAATTGAAAAAAGTATAAAGAGTCCTCTTTGCTTAAATTTTGTCGAAGTACCCAACAAAAAGCGGAAGCTTTAATTTTTCACCTATATATATATATATATATATATATATATATATATTCATAGATAGAAGAATGGAGGCGAAATATGGATGAAAAAAAGTATTACAGTAACATTGTTCTGAGATTTTAAGAGAGCATTTGAAACTATTGACAGGGAGAAATTGTTATCGAAATTGCATTGCTATGGATTTCAATAGAAGTCAAAGAACAAAAATTGGCACTACACTATCAAACATTAAAAACATTCAGGTAGGTGTGCCACAGGGTAACAAATTAGACCCATTACTATTTATTTTATATGTTATTTTACAACACTGCAAAATTCAACTATTTGCTGATGATACATTAATATATATATATATATATATATATATAGGTGAAAAATTAAAGCTTCCGCTTTTTTTTTTGGGTACTTCGACAAGATTTAAGCAAAGAGGACTCTTTATACTTTTTTTAATTCTCTCTAGCTTTCAATGGACTTTGCCATCATCATCAGGAGCTGTAATTACAATGATAACAGTAGCAACAAAGGTGTAAAATGAATTTAAATTGACTCAACTTACAGTAGTATGTGAGAATGTTGCTAATTGTTGTTTTCGTATAGGATGAGGGAAACGTCCAGTAACATGGTGAGAGCTGAATAGGTTGCACAATAGTCAAAATTTATACAAAACATGACAAGAACACGTTAAAAACAGATTAAAAATTATTTTAAAAAATTAGAACATTACATCGTGAAACCACCTGATGATTGCACAAATTAGTGGTCATGGAATGATGATTTTATGATTGACATGAAACCCTTTGACAGAAGGCCGAAGGATGTCAATGTCAGTATTGAAAGATGGAACGAATTGTGGGCGTGTGCCAAAAACGTTGCCAAATCACTTCAGATGAAGAGATTTTCAGAATTTTATGATGGAATTTGTTAGACCGACCAGAGGCAGTTGAATAAACTATATTATTATTAATGGGAATTTAAATTAACAATTATTAATAAATCGTGAGGAGAGAATTATTATATTTTGAGTGGAATGAAATTTACTGGTGGAAACGGCCAAAACACAGATTCTAATTATGGTTGTGAAGAGTTGAAATTTGGGGAGATATGTAAGTTCTCCAATTTTTCGCAGTTTAGCAAATATGAGTAAATGACACTCAGTTGTTTAACATCTGTCTTTTTGTTGATACAGTTGTTATTCATGAAAATGTGGGACATTTCCAGGAATAAACGTTTGGAAAGGTGTTTTTCTTTATCAAGAACTTTGATACTAACCATAATTAGAATCTGTGTTTTGGCCGTTTCCACCAGTAAATTTCATTCCACTCAAAATATAATAATTCTCTCCTCACGATTTATTAATAATTGTTAATTTAAATTCCCATTAATAATAATATAGTTTATTCAACTGCCTCTGGTCGGTCTAACAAATTCCATCATAAAATTCTGAAAATCTCTTCATCTGAAGTGATTTGGCAACGTTTTTGGCACACGCCCACAATTCGTTCCATCTTTCAATACTGACATTGACATCCTTCGGCCTTCTGTCAAAGGGTTTCATGTCAATCATAAAATCATCATTCCATGACCACTAATTTGTGCAATCATCAGGTGGTTTCACGATGTAATGTTCTAATTTTTTAAAATAATTTTTAATCTGTTTTTAACGTGTTCTTGTCATGTTTTGTATAAATTTTGACTATTGTGCAACCTATTCAGCTCTCACCATGTTACTGGACGTTTCCCTCATCCTATACGAAAACAACAATTAGCAACATTCTCACATACTACTGTAAGTTGAGTCAATTTAAATTCATTTTACACCTTTGTTGCTACTGTTATCATTGTAATTACAGCTCCTGATGATGATGGCAAAGTCCATTGAAAGCTAGAGAGAATTAAAAAAAGTATAAAGAGTCCTCTTTGCTTAAATCTTGTCGAAGTACCCAAAAAAAAGCGGAAGCTTTAATTTTTCACCTAACTGGTCTAAACGACAATGACCACGTCTCAAGTTATATATATATATATATATATATATATTTATGCCACCCTGTATAAAGAACAACTGAAGAACAATACATAGCAAACACCGGAATAAGTACGTGTTTCTTTTTTGTCCATTACAGCTGCAATCAAAAGAAAATTATGGGTGTGACTAAAAATAATTTCCTTTGAACCAATTGACGGACATCATACTTGATTATTTCACACTACAGCGAGTCAAAGTCAGACGAATTTTCATTGATCTTCAAACTTCAAAATAATTTTTATGTTGTTTTTCGCTGTGTTAACAGAAAATGATGCTGGTTGAGATGGAGTACATGACTGTGAAGATCTTTGCCCGAAAAAACTAATTTTCATCAACAAATTAAATGCTGAATTGAGACTCCAGGAGTGTCGTTCATTTTCTGGAACCCTGCATTTACTCACCCGCGGACAGTATAACCTCTTTTTTCGCATAAACTTTCACCACTCTGTCTCCAATCCTAACTTGAACTCCCTTGGCAGTTTTCGTCGCCTTGTCTATCAAAATCCTCTCCGCCATGGCATTCACGGCTACCAGAAGGTTCTTTCTATCTTTCGCTTTACCTAGGAATGCTTTTGCGGCGTTCATTCTAACGCCATTTTCAACAGTGAGAGGAACGTCTATATATCCCAATGGATCCTGGGGCTGTTCTTCAAGAAGAGATCTATAGCCCAATTCGGTACCTGCTGCTTTTACGGACTCTTTCACTGGTTCGTCTGAAAACAAAAAATGACCCAGTTTCCATTAGAGATCCTCCGATTCGTATTGGCGACGTTACCTGAACTATAATATGTTATAGTTTGGTAGCCATTTCTTCCATAATCTTTGCTTGACTCGAGATTCTGAATATTTTCATTATCTTTGAAATGTTGTTTGACATCTTCCCAACTCCATCCTTCATTGCCCATTTCATACCATTTATCGTAGTCTCTTTCGTTTCCTTTCACGTACAACATCGCATTTATCGAGCTGCATCCTAAAAAAATAATTAGGCAAAGGAGTATACAGGTATTATGGAATTAGGAGTTTACTATCGGTCCGGCAAGCAGAAGAAGTGGTCATGCACGATTCGAATTCGGTCTTGGCCCAGAGTTTCTTTTACTTCCCTCGCCAACTTGCGAAGAAGTATTATTAAGAAAAAAATCAAACATTAGATATGTTATTTGGATGTTACATTACGAAAAACCGTATCACTCATTTCTGTTAGACTGTCTTTCTATTTGTTGGTCTCCCTGTCTAGCTGTCCAAAAATTCTGGACCCTTATATAATGATTTTGATCAAATTACAACAGGTACTATGATAGTTTTGTAATATGAGTTAACAAACGAACGCAGGAGGCTGCACGTTACTGCATGTTGAGACATGACCATGAGTGCATAGTAGCCGCTGGCAGCACGTCTGTTGATTTAGTTGTTCATTCGTTTTAACAGTATAAAGTGCGGACTATGGCATCTTGTCGCGTAGTGAGATGTGGACCTATTAAATAAAACACCTGTACTAATGATAATTTTCTTTTTCAGGTAATCCTTTGTCAAGTTCGGTATGATACTACTGAAGTTAATTATGTAAGTAAATAATGTACTATGTAGACCAGCGGAAATATTCAAATGAAAATGGAGCTCAACAGCCAATAACCATTTTTATAGGCTCTTTTATGTGACCAAAACCATACCACAAACGCTATAGATATTATTAATTGGTAGATCAAAAGTATTCACGACCCCAATAAAAGCTCTTAAATGTACATTTTATAAGAGAGAGTACAAAGTACACTCTGTAACAATTTACGATTGCAGCCCAGGATAGTGACGTTTCTTTCAACGATATTTTTTTACTTTGTCATCACCATCCACTAATCAACAATGGATAATATATAAACTTCAAGTGCCAAAAAAATGTCAGAAACGTTTTGAACTCTTATAAATAACACTAGCTAGTCAGTTTTAACAACCGCATAAAAAAGAGAACTAAGAGCAAAATTTATAACGTTTTTGTTTCTGACTTCATGCTTGTACTTTTTTTATAGCCATATCAACATTGAATGAAGAGTTATTTGTATTGACTGGAATATATGTATTCCTGATATATTTATTAGAAATTTTGTATTCTCTACCTCCAAGAAATTTTCCTCTGGGCCATTTGCATCGTTCATTTTTGAAACCCAAACAGGAGCCTTTTTCTTGTTCACCTTCAAACCGCCAATCCTCCTTGCTATCTATGACACTAAACAGCAGCGCTGGTATCTGCAAGCATCAAGATCGAGATATCTGAAGCAAAATAAACGTTTATAAGACATCAATGGTATATTTTTCAATGTTTTCATCGCCCCAAAACATCTTAAAGGTTGTTGATCTTGAAACTGCTAATCCTTCTTGCTATCACACTAAACAGCAGATCTGGTATCTGAAAGCATGAGGATCCATATATCTGAAGTAAAATAAACGTTTACATGATATCAATGATATATTTTTCAATGTTTTGTTGGTCTTGAAACTGCCAATTTTTCTTGCTATCACACTAAACAGCAGAGCTGGTATCGGAAAGCATCAAGATCCAGATATCTGAAGCTAAATAAACGTTGACAAGACATTAATGATGTATTTTTCAATGTTTTCATCGACCCAAAAGGTCTTAAAGGTTGTTGATCTTGACACTGCCAATCCTCCTTGCTATCACACTAAAGAGCAGATGTGGTATCTGAAAGGATCAAGATCCAGATATCTGAAGCTAAATAAACGTTGACAAGACATCAATGATGTATTTATCAATGTTTTCATCGTCCCAAAGCATCTTAAAGGTTGTTGAAACTGCCAATCCTCCTTGCTATCACACTAAACAGCAGATCTGGTATCTGAAAGCATCAAGATCCAGATATCTGAAGCTAAATAAACGTTGACAAGACATCAATGATGTATTTATCAATGTGTGCATCGTCCCAAATGATCTTAAAGGTTGTTGATCTTGAAACTGCCAATTCTTCTTGCTATCACACTAAACAGCAGTTCTGGTATCTGAAAGCATCAAGATCCAGATATCTGAATCAAAATAAACGTTTACATGACATCAATGATATATTTTTCGATGTTTTCATCGCCCCAAAACATCTTAAAGGTTGTTGATCTTGAAACTGCCAATCCTCATTGCTATCACACTAAACAGCAGATCTGGTATCTGAAAGCATGAAGATCCAGATATCTGAATCAAAATAAACGTTTACATGACATCAATGATATATTTTTCGATGTTTTCATCGCCCCAAAACATCTTAAAGGTTGTTGAAACTGCCAGTCTTCCTTGCTATCACACTAAACAGCAGATCTGGTATCTGAAAGCATCAAGATCCAGATATCTGAAGCTAAATAAACGTTGACAAGACATCAATGATGTATTTATCAATGTTTTCATCGCCCCAAAAGAACTTAAAGGTTGTTGATCTTGAAACTGCCAATCCTCCTTGCTATCACACTAAACAGCAGATCTGGTATCTGAAATCATCAAGATCGAGATATCTGAAGCTAAATAAACGTTGACAAGACATCAATGATGTATTTTTCAATGTTTTCATCGTCCCAAAAGATCCTAAAGGTTGTTGATCTTGAAACTGCCATTCTTCCTTGCTGTCACGCTAAACAGCAGAGCTGGTATCTGAAAGCATCAAGATCCAGATATCTGAAGCTAAATAAACGTTAACAAGACATCAATGATGTATTTATCAATGTTTTCATCGTCCCAAAAGATCCTAAAGGTTGTTGATCTTGAAACTGCCATTCTTCCTTGCTGTCACGCCAAACAGCAGAGCTGGTATCTGAAAGCATCAAGATCCAGACATCTGAAGCTAACTAAACGTTGACAAGACATCAATGATGTATTTATCAATGTTTTCATCGTCCCAAAAGATCCTAAAGGTTGTTGATCTTGAAACTGCCATTCTTCCTTGCTGTCACGCTAAACAGCAGAGCTGGTATCTGAAAGCATCAAGATCCAGATATCTGAAGCTAAATAAACGTTGACAAGACATCAATGATGTATTTATCAATGTTTTCATCGCCCCAAAAGATTTTAAAGGTTGTTGATCTTGAAACTGCCAATCTTCCTTGCTATCACGCTAAACAGCAGAGCTGGTATCTGAAAGCATCAAGATCCAGATAGCTGAAGCTAAATAAACGTTGACAAGACATCAATGATGTATTTATCAATGTGTACATCGTCCCAAAAGATCTTAAAAGTTGTTGATCTTGAAACTGCCAATCTTCCTTGCTATCACGCTAAACAGCAGAGCTGGTATCTGAAAGCGTCAAGATCCAGATATCTGAAGCTAAATAAACGTTGACAAGACATCAGTGATCTATTTATCAATGTTTTCATCGTCCCAAAAGATCTTAAAGGTTGTTGATCTTGAAACTGCCAATCTTCCTTGCTATCACGCTAAACAGCAGATCTGGTATCTAAAAGCATCAAGATCTAGATATCTGAAGCTAAATAAGCGTTGACAAGACATCAATGATGTGTTTTTCAATGTTTTCATCGCCCCAAAAGATCTTAAAAGTTGTTGATCTTGAAACTGCCAATCCTCCTTGCTATCACGCTAAACAGCAGATCTGGTATCGGAAAGCATCAAGATCCAGATATCTGAATCAAAATAAACGTTTATATGACATCAATGATATATTTTTCGATGTTTTCATCGCCCCAAAACATCTGAAAGGTTGTTGAAACTGCCTGTCTTCCTTGCTATCACACTAAACAGCAGATCTGGTATCTGAAAGCAACAAGATCCAGATATTTGAAGCTAAATAAACGTTGACAAGACATCAATGATGTATTTATCAATGTTTTCATCGTCCCAAAAGATCTTAAAGGTTGTTGATCTTGACACTGCCAATCTTCCTTGCTATCACGCTAAACAGCAGAGCTGGTATCTGAAAGCATCAAGATCCAGATGTCTGAAGCTAAATAAACGTTGACAAGACATCAATGATGTATTTATCAATGTTTTCATCGCCCCAAAAGATCTTAAAGGTTGTTGATCTTGAAACTGCCAATCTTCCTTGCTATCACGCTAAACAGCAGAGCTGGTATCTGAAAGCATCAAGATCCAGATATCTGAAGCTAAATAAACGTTGACAAGACATCAATGATGTATTTATCAATGTTTTCATCGTCCCAAAAGATCTTAAAGGTTGTTAATCTTGAAACTGCCAATCTTCCTTGCTATCACGCTAAACAGCAGAGCTGGTATCTGAAAGCATCAAGATCCAGATATCTGAAGCTAAATAAACGTTGACAAGATATCAATGATGTATTTTTCAATGTTTTCATCGTCCCAAAACATTTTAAACGTTGTTGATCTTGAACCTGCCAATTCTTCTTGCTATCACACTAAACAGCGGATCTAGTATCTGAAAGCATCAAGATCCAGATATCTGAAGCTAAATAAACGTTGACAAGACATCAATGATGTATTTATCAATGTTTTCATCGTCCCAAAAGATCTTAAAGGTTGTTGATCTTGAAACTGCCAATCTTCCTTGCTATCACGCTAAACAGCAGAGCTGGTATCTGAAAGCATCAAGATCGAGATATCTGAAGCTAGACAAACGTTGACAAGATATCAATGATGTATTTTTCAATGTTTTCATCGTCCCAAAACATTTTAAACGTTGTTGATCTTGAAACTGCCAATTCTTCTTGCTATCACACTAAACAGCAGATCTGGTATCTGAAAGCATCAAGATCCAGATATCTGAAGCTAAATAAACGTTGAAAAGACATCAATGATGTATTTTTCAATGTTTTCATCGCCCCAAAACATCTTAAAGGTTGTTGATCTTGAAACTGCCAATTCTTCTTGCTAGCACACTAAACAGCAGATCTGGTATCTGAAAGCATCAAGATCCAGATATCTGAAGCTAAATAAACGTTGACAAGACATCAATGATGTATTTATCAATGTTTTGATCGCCCCAAAACATCTTAGAGGTTGTTGAACTTGAAACTGCCAATTCTCCTTGCTATCACACTGAACAGCAGAGCTGTTATCTGAAAGCATCAAGATCCAGACATCTGAAGCTAAATAAACGTTGACAAGACATCAATGATGTATTTTTCAATGTTTTCATCGTCCCAAAACATCTCAAAAGTTGTTGATCTTGAAACTGCCAATTTTTCTTGCTATCACACTAAACAGCAGAGCTAGTATCGGAAAGCATCAAGATCCAGATGTCTGAAGCTAAATAAACGTTGACAAGACATCAATGATGTATTTTTCAATGTTTTCATCGCCCCAAAACATCTTAAAGGTTGTTGATCTTGAAACTGCCAATCCTCCTTGCTATCACACTAAACAGCAGATATGGTATCTGAAAGCATCAAGATCCAGATATCTGAAGCTAAATAAACGTTGACAAGACATCAATGATGCATTTTTCAATGTTTTCATCGCCCCACAACATCTTAAAGGTTGTTGATCTTGAAACTGTCAATGCTCCTTGCGATCACACTAAACAGCAGATCGGGTATCTGAAAGCATCAAGATCCAGATATTTGAAGCTAACTAAACGTTGACAAGACATCAATGATGTATTTTTCAATGTTTTCATCGCCCCAAAACATCTTAAAAGTTGTTGATTTTGAAACTGCCAATTCTTCTTGCTATCACACTAAACAGCAGAGCTGGTATCTGAAAGCATCAAGATCTAGATATTTGAAGCTAAATAAACGTTGACAAGACATCATTGATGTATTTTTCAATGTTTTCATCGCACCAAAACATCTTAAAGGTTGTTGAAACTGCCAATCCTCCTCGCTATCACACTAAACAGCAGAGCTGGTATCTGAAAGCATCAAGATCCAGATATTTGAAGCTAAATAAACGTTGACAAGACATCAATGATGTATTTTTCAATGTTTTCATCGCCCCAAAACATCTTAAGGGTTGTTGAAACTGCCAATCCTCCTTGCTATCACACTAAACAGCAGATCTGGTATCTGAAAGCATCAAGATCCAGATATTTGAAGCTAAATAAACGTTGACAAGACATCAATGATGTATTTTTCAATGTTTTCATCGCCCCAAAACATCTTAAAGTTTGTTGAAACTGCCAATCCTCCTCGCTATCACATTAAACAGCAGAGCTGGTATCTGAAAACATCAAGATCCAGATATTTGAAGCTAAATAAACGTTGACAAGACATCAATGATGTATTTTTCAATGTTTTCATCGCCCCAAAACATCTTAAGGGTTGTTGAAACTGCCAATCTTCCTTGCTATCACACTAAACAGCAGATCTGGTATCGGAAAGCATCAAGATCCAGATATCTGAAGCTAAATAAACGTTGACAAGACATCAATGATGTATTTTTCAATGTTTTGATCGCATCAAAACATCTTAAAGGTTAGTATTTTTTTATTTCCAATCAAGCGTCATCAAATTGGAATAGTGGCGTTCTATAAAAAGGATAAATACTCAACCAACTCAGATCTATTTTTTAATTGACTTTGATTCAATTTCAAGAGACACGTCTGTACCAGCGACATTTTAAGGAATTGGCTCGAGATTTATCACGATAATAGGCATAAAATTAACTTTGCAGGAGGTTTGACGTCCTGGATCTTCGAAATGAATCATTATTAATTCTTAGAATCCCACAAGCAGTCACCTCTTGAAGCTACTTCATTAAGATCATCTCACAAAACTCACATCGCTAGTTGCTGATGGATATCCTCCAGCTTCCAACACAAGAACATTCCAATCTTTGTTCTCGGATAACTTGTTCGCCACTACTGATCCTCCTGATCCCGCTCCCACCACTATGAAGTCGAAAGCATCTCCGTCCATAATGTTTGGCCCAAAGTCCTCAGAATACTGATTCGGTGAGCCCAATGAGCATTTCATTGCCGCCAGAGTATTTATAAGAGTGAGGAACAGATGACCTGAGAATCCTTCGAGATTGTTGGGACAGCTGTCCATCAAACCTACGGGCGGCTCCATTTTGCCTGAAAGATAAATTGCAATCAAAAATTTACGTGTACTGGACTGGGTCTATAATGTTGACTCTTTCGTTACGACTTTTGATATATAATTCTTCATGTAGTGAAAAATCGATCTTTTTAGATTTTAAGAAAAGGATTATAAACTGAAGTACGGTATATCGAAAATCACTCCGTCTCAAACTATGGAAAAAAGTTCACACTCCTGATTCAACGACAAATACAGGGTATTCATTTGAGAACTGCCCACTACGGAACTGATCCAAATTTGATTGATAGTGTATCTAACTCTTGTAGCGATAGACGCCATACACCGGATGTTTGCTTTTAAACTCCTTACTCAGCAAGACATCGTCAATATAATCTCTCACATTAAGTCTACGGCATGTGGCTCTGATGGTCTAACTTTAAATATGGTTTGCTTATGTTTGCCTGATACCATAGACCACATAACTCACATTATTAATGTCTGTCTCGAAACAGGTTACTTTCCTGCCAGTTGGAAAAATGGTATTATTATTCCAATAGCTAAAACTAATCGTCCAGAACAATATTCGGATCTCAGGCCAATTACCTTATTATGCTTTCTATCAAAAATACTCGAAAGAGCTGTCTACTCACAACTAGTGGAGTTTTTCGAACAAAACCACTTATTTCCTCTACATCAGTCAGGTTTCAGAGCTGGTTACAGCACTACTTCGTCTTTATTACATCTTACTGATTCCATCATTCACAATTTAGATAATCACATCAACACCGTCTTGGTACTGTTAGATTTCTCGAAAGCCTTTGATATGGTCAATCACCAGATACTACTGAGTAAGTCATCTCATTATGGAATGTCAGATATAGTTCTAAGGTTCTTTGAGTCATACTTGCTAAATCGTCAACAAACAGTGAAAACTGATCAGGGAATTTCCTCCGCTGAGCCAGTTCCTTCAGGAGTTCCTCAGGGCTCAGTATTAGGTCTCTTACTATATCTGATTTATACGATCGATCTGCAAGACTGTTTAGTCCACTTTAGTATGCAAACTTATGCAGATGATACTCAGTTAGTGTTTGGTTTCGATGCATCAAAGGTTGATGAAGTTTCGTTTAAAGTTTAAAGTTTAAGTTTAAAGCCTCCTCACAATACCTCGGTCTTTGAAAGAAGTTACACCTATAATGCTGTCAAGCATTACAATGCAGTCAACAGTGGCTATCGATCCAAACATATTGTTTCTTTTAAGAATTAACGAAAAGTCAGCTGCTGGAGTTCATTTAGTTCATGTGATCTTTTTTGTTTGACTATTTTCTACTATTTTTGTTTCAAATTTATGACTCTCGCAATACTATCTATACTAAGTGACATATAAATCCGAACACCCAGTTTAAATGGTTTTATTTTAATAAAATTTTGTATAAGTACTTAATGAAGCATAATAAGTAAATGATAAAAATTTCAAAATGATTGCACTGCTTTAAAGCCCTTTGACCTGATGTGCTACGCATTCTCCAACGCGCCTAGGCATACTTCTGATCAGGTGGTCAATGTCCTCGTGTGGTATCTCATTCCAGGCAACCACCAACTCCTCTCGAAGTGCTTCTAGAGTCTGAGGAGGACGTTGCAAATTGAGCAATCTCCTACCCATCATATCCCACACGTGCTCAATTGGGGATAAGTTGGGAGATCTTGGTGGCCATGGTAACAATGTGACATCATTATGTTGCAAGAAGTCTATTGTGACTCTTGCAACATCTGGTCGGGCATTATCTTGTTGGAAATTTGGATCTGCCAGGGTGTCAAGATAGGGTAAAAGAGGGGGTTCTAGAACTTCGTGCTGCGCGTTCATGTTACCTCTGATGAAGATTAAAGGTGACCTGGAACCATGAGCTATAGCACCCCAAACCATAACTCCAACAGTGTGATGAACATGTCTTTCAACAAAAAACTGTGGATTCCTCCTTTCACCACGTCGCCTTCTAACCCTGGCACGACCATCGTGCATGCCTAAACAAAATCGAGACTCGTCACTAAAGACAATACTGTTCCATTCCTGATCCCAGAGTGACCGTTGTCTGCACCACTCAAGGCGATTACGTCGGTGTTCTCGAGTTAAAGGAAGGACCCAGTGTGGCCGGTATGAAAACAAGCCAAAACTTCTCATTCGTCGGTAAACACTTCGCATGCCAATAGGTCTTCCGTGTTCTGCAAACCATTCATTTGCAATGGACCTGGTAGTGGAGAAACGGTCCCTTAAGGCCAATAATCTTAGACGGCGATCTTCACGGTCTGTTGTTCTACGGCGGCGTTCAGTGCCCCTTGCTCTTTGCGTACGGCCTTCTCGAAGCCATGCCTGACAACACCTAACCACAGTGTCTACACTTCTTTGCACTCTAACTGCAATTGCCCGAAAAGAAAGTCCAGCTTCCCGAAGTCCCACTATACGGCCCCTATCAAACTCACTAAGTTGACGAAATCGTACAGGTCTCCGTACTCTAGGCATCGTAACCGATCGTAAAGGATGTCAAGAACCAAAATCCGCCAACGTTGATTCTTTACTGCGGCTGAAATATTTATTTTTAGAGCGTTAGTGAATTAAAAAAAAAGCAGTATAAAAACCGGAATGTCCAACTGATAAGGCTGAACATTTTTTCACTTGTTATTTACAGTAAGATAAATATATTCACCAACTTTTATTAAAATAAAACCATTTAAACTGGGTGTTCGGATTTATATGTCACTTAGTATACATTTGTCTCGTGCAATCAGTGTTGTCATTCTTATGCATTGTATTTTTTTTTTGTTATGTTATTATTTTGTTTATGTGTTTAAGTATTCTTTTTTCCTGTTGTGGGGCTAAACTTCGCCTCACTGCAGCTAATAAAGGTATTATTATTATTATTATTATTATTATTAGTATTTATCAAAAACCACTGGGTCATCCCCTTAAAAATTTTAAATGACAAGGGGTATCGAGTGATAGCTTGTTTGAAAGGTCTTTCAATTTCAATTTGTTCATATAGAAAACAAAAACACGCGAAAATAGCACTTTTTGTTTTAATAAGTGGTCAACATGTTGCCCGTTGTTGACCAAACAATGATATAGGCAAAGTTCAAATTCCTGACGGACATTTTCAAAAACAGGTTGTGGGATATCATGATCGATGCGTTGACGACGTTCATCCAAACTTTTAGGGTGGGGAGTAAATACAATAGATTTCAAATAGCCCCATACAAAAAAGTCTAATGGCGTCAAATCAGAAGATCTAGCAGGCCATTCTATGGGCCCTCTTCGCCTTATCGATTTATCTGGAAACTCGTCGTCTAGCCATTGCCGAACCGGAAGAACAAGAAAACGAATCGACTGATTTTGAAAAAATCTAACATCAAAATGAAAGACTTCGAAAGACCTTTCAAACAAGCTATCACTCGATACTTCTTGTCATTAAAATTTTTTGACAGAATGAACCTGGGGGCGGACGATGAAGTAGTTTTTGGCTAAAAAGTTTTCTCCCATGACAAATCCGATGTGTCTTGGCGTTTTTTTTTATCAGTGGGTTTCGGTAAATCCGTGATGGGGTGTTTTCAAATGAACACCCTGTATATGGAAACTATGTGCGACCAAGCTGCAAAACAAATAACCCCACAAACTCAAACGTCGAAAAACTAAGTTTTGGTGATTCCTGTTTTCTTTTTCGTTTGTTGCTTATAGCACCGGCGCCACTGGTTCAGTTTCCAAAACCCACAAAGCTTTTTTGACCTTGGCATAGTAGTAAAGTAACCTTGTGACACAATCTTAGTCCATACGTTCTGAGCTAGAGAGGGGCCAAGGATTAGCGGACATTCAAATCGACGGAGATCAGTGTCATGTATCATCTAAAAAGCAAAATATCTCCTTTCCGAAATTTTTCACAATTACAATTCACATTTTGGCGCAGCTTCAGTAATGGTGGTAGTGGCTATGGACTAATCATCATCATCATAATCATTTTTTAGGAAGCGTTGCATTGAATTTAAGTTTACGCACTCTCTTAATTTCATGATCTTTTTTCGAAAAATGTTAAATGAATATTATGTTATATGTTTATAAATACGTACCCTTTATTTTTTAATCTTGTTAATCTATCCCTAAATATTTTTCACTGCTGTCTGTATACTACAAATTGTTCAAAGTACAATTTTTTTGTAAAGATGATAATTTAGTTTTTGATTCTCGGTACTGTATTTTGTACAGGCTGTAAACGTTACGATGGTCATTATTTAAATGGGTGATAGAGGGGGTTTAAAGTAGCAAAAAGTTTCATATAACATGGGGGTCACAACGGCATTTTTTTAGAGAAAAGCGACGCAGTGTAAATAAAGATGGAGTGATACATTGTTTTTCTTTTTACAACCCACACTGCACTTTTTTGTTAAAATGTCGTCCTCCACTTTCCACACGAGCTCCATTACGACGAACCCAGTTTCTTCTTACTTTAGGTCCTCTAAGTTGTCCATTTATTATTTCAGCCACATTAAAAATTTTTTTCGCGAAGTTGTGCTTCAGTTGTTATTGGACCAGCCCCATAAACCATCCCTTTAAGTTCTCCCCAATACCAGAAATCCATCGGATTGAGGTCAGGAGATCTTGCTGGCCATTTTCGAGGATCAGGAGGATCCAGCGATTTGGGTAATGCTCATTCAAGTACTGAATGACGCCTCTAAAAATGTGTGGTGGTGCCCCGTCATGAAGAAACCACAAATTCTGTCTCCGTTGTATTGGCATGTTGTCTAAGGTGTTCTGGTAGGTTATTAGCTGGAAAGCCTGACAATTTTGGGGGTAACTCGAAAGGGCCAATTACCTGATCGTCAAGAATAGCCGCCCAAATATTTATTTTTAAATGTTGTTGGAAATGACCTTCACGAATGATATGAGTATAGTAGTAGTATACCAATTTATGTAATAAAGCGTTACAAGTTATTTTGGCAACAAAGTTTAGTCAAGTCAATCGCAAACTAATATAAATCCGAACACCCAGTTTAA